AATGTACCACACCTGTCTAAAAGGGGTGAGCAACATTTTCTTTGTTATTTTGTAACCCTACGAGTAGTTCTCATTTTAGTCTACCTCACATATTTATCTGAGTGTTGCAGTATGTCACATTCTTTATAAGCTACACACTGAATGTATAACCTGAGAATGTATTTTATGAGACCTCAAGGTTGCTATGAATTTTCTTGGATGTTATATGTTTATTTTTTTTGGGGTTTTCTGTATTCTTGTTTCTTACTTGGTCACATATTAACTAGTGGTTATGTGCCAGCCCAGCTCAGTCTGTCAATGACTCTGTCTGACGCACCAGCACATTGTAGTACCTCTTAGTTTTATGGTCCTTGTTTTAGCCCAAAGACTGTCCTGATCCACCCTTTGGACCAAAAAGGGGGGAATCTTGGGACCACATAGGTCAATGCGCGTTTGCGAACTATGGACCTCGTACATCACCGCATGCTCCATAAACTGAACTGTATGGCCGGCGGTGAGATGCCTTTGTGTCCCCTCGTGGAGTTAACCGCCCACCGACCTTCCTCCTTCTACACTACTACCTCTCGCATGGACGACATCATCATTGCGTACCACCTGCGTGAGTGGCTTCTTCTCGTTAATGCACGTTGGGGACTATCCCGTTTCCTATCCTCTTTGTGCCTGACCAGGATCAAAGACCAAAGGCGCCAGGATCCAAGACAAAGACCAAAGACAAAGGCGTCCAAGGAGACCAACGTCCTAAGGGACAAACCCACCTGTGCTTCCGACAATCAAGTTAACCTACGTTCATGAGGGACAAACCCATCTGTGCTTCCGACGATCGAGCTTTGGGCGCGATCCCCGAAACCAAAAGGGGGAATGTTGAGGGTCTGACCTCATGAGGAAATTACTATGCAGTGATTTTCTCCAAAATGACTTGTGCTTAAATTGCTTTGAAAAGCAAATAATCACATCAGCGCCAAGAAACTTCATTTCCCATGATGCTTTGCACACGGAAGCATTGTGATGACGTCACCGCCTAATACCAGAAACACATTCTGTGCATGTGTGGGAGTCACAGAGCTTTCCCGCGAACTCAGACTATAAATCATCAGGAAAGACAAAGGAACCTCGTTCTTTTGCCCAGGATACCTGGCGGTAAGGACACGCTTGTCGAACGCTCCGACTCCCTTGAGCACGCGGAAGCTCTAAGTGCCCAAGTTGAGCCACGCAACCGCTACAAAGCCACTCCAACTCCATCAGGATCTGACTGGGAACGAGCGGAGCTCCATCCAGCTCTCAGAGACGCTGTAAGTTGTCAAACTCAGCACAAAAGAAACTTCGTTCTCTTTGTGTCCAGCCCGTGGAGAAACACTCACGGAGAACGCCAAACAACGGAGAAAGCGACAACTCCATCAAACCGACGGACGACGCCAAACTGCGGAGAAACACGGAGAACCGTCAACTCAAAGAGTGAGGGACGCTTCGCTCTTCTGGTGATCAGAAACTCATCTCTTTCTCTCCTTCTTCTTCCGTTTCCTCTATAGTCCAGAATAAGCAATAAAACCGCGCTATTGCTTAAAAAGTAGCTTCGTGTTTTCCTCTTTTGCTCCCAAACACGTCCGTCGGGTCATTTTGAAAGAATAAACTGCTTATTAATCATTGTTTGGTATCTTTAAATGTTTCCTACTATGGCCAAGTGGTTAAACTAAAAGATATTAATTCGTGATTAATCTTTGGTGAAGCTTCATGATCATTTTGAAATGTGTTGAGTGATTTTAAGGTTAAGTTACTACTGGTTCTAAGTGCTTTGGAAGTTAAAGTGCAAGTTGCCACCCCCACTTTAGCCAGACAAAGGGGTCAGCCATCTTGTATTCAAGACTCCATTTTGAATCCATACACACGCACACACACGCACACACACACTCTACTCCTTTGTGAGAACAAAGGACCCCATTCATACATCCTCCATCACACGCAAAAACATCCATCTTCAATCATATCACGTGGTTATTATTCATTTGTTCCATTGTTTATTCATTTGACAAATTGTTAATTAAACGTTATAAAATTCAGAATTTTGCCTCCCGTAGCTTTGTTGTGTCGAAGAAAAGTCTCTGCTCCAAGGATTCTACGAACTTCAAGAAAGACTGATAAGAGTTTTGGATTCAATTTTTTCCCGTTTGAAGGGAATGGGGCCCCGTATATACTTAATTGTATCTTAATTAATTAATAACTCAGTAAATATTCCCATATTTACAGAATTTATTGAAGAATCCAAAAGTAAGTTGAAGCTTACTAATTGTTCGCTCCTAATAACCCCAACAATGTTGTAGTTTTCTCCTGCTTGTTGTTGTGTTTACTGACGAAGTCACTCGTGTGACTTCGTGCTCTGTCGGTGACAGCTGCTCCCCTGCTGCTTTGCGTCTCGTGGGAAGGGCCAAGCAGCAGCTTACGCGAGCAAGACGTGCTGCTGCAGTAATGTACTGCTGACGGCTCCGGTGGAAACCCGGGGTTTAGATCAGGGGTGTTGAACTCAAATTCACTCTGGGCCAAAATGAAAAACTGGGCAGGAGTCGTGGGCCAAACTATATTTTTTAAACGGTGACGGCAAATGTGCACATTTTCCTTTATCGACATATATGAACGGTTGAACCTTTTCATTTGGAAACAAACTTATTTTTTCAGTAATACTGAATGTGGAATAGCCAAATTACACACAAGCAAGTGGATTTTAAATAAAGCACAGAGTGGTATTCGTTACTTATCTCAATTTTTTAAACTATTTTACTGCTTAAAAATTGCATATATTCAGCATTTCTTCTTATTTTTTATCTTTTGAATCTTTTAAGTGTTTCTATTTCATGTTTATTCTTTATTTTTTACTCTCCTTTGTTGCTCCTGTAATGAATGTTATTGCTGCTGTGACACCAAGCTTTCGCCACTGAGGGACAATAAAGGGATTTTCTATTTTATTTCTGTTCTATTCTTCTATCTGTAATCTGTCCTGTTTTAAAGTAGGTGAAATATTTTTTTCACAGGCCAACAACATAAATAAAAAATAGTCATTCTCTTAAATGACAGTGCAATATCTCACCTATTAACTGCCATGCTTTGCAGCAGAAAATGTTAATAAAACCAAAATAATTCAATCCCAGTTTTCTCCACTCTGATTTCCTGTGATGATCACCTGTTCCAGCCAGACCTGCATCTGTGGGGTTGGGCTGTGAGCTGAGGAAGGAGTTCATCAGTGAGAAACAGTTGCTCACACAGGTTTGTGCTGCTGGACATGGAGAGCATCCGGACCACACAGTTGTGTCGAGGAGGGGGATAAAAGCTGCAGCAGCCTCAGAGTCATACTGACCTGAGCGTGTCACTAAACTGGAGTTAAATCATCTCGGTCTGGAAGCTGGTCGGTGCGCTTTCTATGTCAGCAGGAAAAAGATTACTGAGCTGTCAAAATCCATTTCTGAGCTTCAAAGTCGGCTAATTGCTAAGTAAACGTGGCGCTGAGTAAGAGGAGTGTTTTCAGTTTGTCCGAGGCTGAGGAGGTAACGCTGCAGACGCTGATGCTAATAGCATGGGCGCTAATGACTGTAAAGACATACTGGTTTTTCTCCTTGAAGCATCAACATGTTCCATCTTTGTTGAAACACCTTCCTTCTGCATCAATCTTTCTCTTCCTGGACATTTTAGGATGACGTTTGGACACTTGTTTTCACTTGTTGCATTAATTAAACATGGAAGTGGATACACTGCACCTAGTGGCGAGTCACTGCACTGGGAACACAATCGCCATGCATTATGGGAAATGTAGTTTATAGTCAATGTGCGCTCTGAAGACTTATTTTAAGACACTTGAATCTCTTGCGGGCCACATAAAATGATGTGGCGGGCCACATCTGGCCCGCGGGGCTGGTGTCTAGCATATGTGCTTTAGATGGTCTCTCAGTCTAAGTAGAAATGGACTTTCGCGCCATATTCTCATTTTCTGTTTAATCTGTAATTCCAGTCCATGAATAATCTTCAATCTAATTATATATTCTTTAGCATAAACTGTCATTCTTCAGCCTGTCAACACACAAGCCTTATTAAACCACAGCTTGGCAAAATGTGAGTATGCAAAAAAACTATTATTATAGTATTCAGTAGTCTTTACTTGATCTTCTCTCCTAGATGAAATTTCAACTACCATCTTTTAAACTGAGTTGAAAGGCCTGTTGGCCTTTTTTTCCCATCTAATTTCTTCAACACGTGAAGTTTTGGAAACTCGTTTTCCATGTAGCCTGTAGAAAAGTTGCATAAATTTGCAATTATAATTTTACAGAGTGTAAAACTATGAGGCGTACAATGTAAAGTTTCTGTGGTATTTTTTTTTCTCCATCATTGTAAATCAGAGCTATCATTTCCTTGCACACCCGACTCTTTCTTAAAGGTCAGGAAAAGTTGTTGGGTTCTATTGTTCCACCAAAATTGCTGCAATCGCAAGGCAAACACTGCTTATCACACCAGCCAGGTGTCGGTAACAGCTTGGTACACTTGCAAAAAAAAAGAAAAGAAAGGAAGCAACAACAAAACTTGTGTACAGCACAACACCTGGTGCTACTGTCCTGCTGTGCTTCCTGCCTGCTCTGACAGCAAGGATGGTGAGAAATCACCCTGGCAACCAGATCACCAGGGAAAATACAAGACCCAACTCAATTCACTATAGCATGGATTAGCCTATATGGCTAAGGGCAAAAGAGAAGAAAAAACACTTAAGATTCAGTTTACTTTTCATAATTTTGAGTAATAATTCAAAGCACATTAACAACTAATCAAGGTTAATTTAACGTTTGCCACAGCTACCTATTTCACAAAGTCAATACTAATTTTAAAGGGTAAATTATACAATTTTAATAATTGTAATAGAATTAGCAGCGTCTGATTATTTGCCAAGATAATGAGAATACTTAATGATGTATGTGTTCCAAACCCAAGGCAACAAGGAGAATGTACGTGGGCACATTTTTAATTCTTACCTCGACAGTGAACTCCTTCATCGTAGCCGTCTTCACAGTCTTTAGCCCCATTGCACAGTTTGTTAAAGTGAATGCATTTTTTTGTCCCAATGCACTGTATGTGGTTAAGGGGACATCTGATCACCACCTCCTGTGCACCTGAAGCAGAAAAACAAAAGAACGTCTAAATACTTTAACATTATCAAGTTTTTTTTACCCAGTAGAACCAAAATCTGCATTTTTTTTCAATCAATTAAAATTCATGTCATTCCGTGTCTTTCCAAACAGCCGACATGCAGAAAGAGAAAGAACGCATGCTTATGCAGATATATTTATACTTCACAGTATTGTTCTTCACACACAACAGATGTTCGCCAAACTGCGTTGAAGCGGCGTTTGGGAAATCTTTTAACAAACACCTCGACTCCCACTGCCAGCCAGAGAACAGCGAAGAGCAGCTGCTTAAGGATTCATGAGACACATAGATAAGCGACCCTCATTCACATGGCAGCCCCCGAGAGCACATAAAACACAGCTGACCAGTACACCAGCACCATAAACGTGTCACATTCCCACCCTAATTGCTCTGATATCAATTACCAATGTTCCTTTGTAGGCACTTAAGGGGAAGATTTATTATCCATGTGATGAGACCTGAAACAATCCCCGGAGTTCTTCCACTTCTAAGGACTTAGTACATTTGGATCATCGTGACATCCGTGTCTACTTTGAAAGGTAAAGGGTGGCATAATTAATGTGAGTTTTACAACAAAGGACACCAATCTGTGAAGAGGGTAATGCACAGATGTGCGGGAGAGGAGAGGAAATAATACAAGTCTCTCAATCCAAGATCCTTTCTTGCCTGGAAAATATCTGGGCTTCATCATTTGCACCACTGAAGACTTTAATATCATCACACGTTTTTGCACTTTTCTTTTAATTTACTTTAATCAGGCTGCTAATGTAAAAATCAAACTTTTATTTGCAAGTTTGCTTATAAGACAAGGTTTGTATAGCCATCAGCTGCTTATTACAAATCATGAGGGATCTATAATTTGACTAATTAAAAGTGTGAACTCTGAAAAACATTTGTAATAATTATTTATGACCATAATTGGGCACTGTAAGATTTCCATGCAGGCTGAACATGAAAATAGTCTCCTACACCTGTCTCCTGCATTAGCTTCTGATAGAAAATAGATGGTGAAACTCTAGGATTTGAAAATTCTGACAGATCTATGTCAGACTGTCACATAACATCCGTAGAGTCACCCATCCTGACTCACAACAGGGAAGGCTGTTGTTAGTTTAGCATCCAGGAAACAGCAGAGAATGCCCCGACTTGTAGACGCTAACCATTAGCATTAGCACCTCCACCACACAGAAAAACTCCTTCAGACTTGTGTTATTAGGGGAGATAATAGTGGTAGAGTCTCGTTGCTGTTATCCAATCTGAGGCAAGATATCCAAATATCAGGAAATAAAACTAAATCCTGCCGCGTTGAGCCACTCTGCTGCATAAGACTTTTCGGTACAGATGTAAGCAATTCTGGTTTTTTTTTGCCCCAATTACGGCTTGCAAGGCAACCATTCCTACCAGAGACCATCCAACGCATAAAATCTTAATTATAAAAAAGCTACTTAAAACAGCTTTAAAGCGGTTATACGCCCACTATTTTTATACATTTGCAGTGTCCTCTACTATGAATGAATGCCTTGTGGGTCATTCCCTAAGACAGGGATTCCCAAAGTGTGGTGCGCGCACCCCTGGGGGTGCGCGAGCTGCCGCTAGGGGGTGCGCGAGGTGAATAGTTGTAATGGCTGCGGAGCTCAGAGAAGACTGTCATATGTCACTATTAGCGTAGAAACTCATTTGTGGGTGGGCCAAAGAAAAAGTAAGTGGGCACAATAAATGTAATTGAAAACAAGTATACTTTTGCGCGCGCGCGCGTGTCCTCCACATGTGCCCTAGCTTCATAATAACAATGTGCCGAGCTTCAGCACTCTGGCCTGCGCACGCTGATATGTTCCGTATTTGATCATTTTTAATGGTGTTGGAGCAATCTGAAGGTGGTGAGTCATTCTGGCAGATTGTAATTAACACCTGTCTCATGCAGGTGTTCTGACGTTGTAAACCTCACACACAGAACATTGTGGATGTAACTAAATAACAAGAAATGATTCCCATTCAGGCTATTGACAGCGCGCTGAAGATCTGAAGTTCAGAGTGCGTCTGTCAGAGGTCAGACGCGTTCAGGCTGAACCACGGCTCACGGGTGCACAAGTGAGCACATCTGGGCTGGGCAGAAGTCATTTTACAACATTGGTTTAAATAGCGCGAGATGCGGTGACTTGAGCGGCTGTGCCGCGCGCGCACACACACACAGATTCAATAAGCGCACACGCTGCTTTAACTCCAGCGCGCCGTCAGACTGAAGGCAGAAGTGAACGCTGCCTCCACCACGATAAAAACTTTTAAGAGGTTATTTTTCATTCAAGGTCAAATTAAGATATTAGCTTCTGGGATGAGTCGGGTCCGCTCCAGCCAGTGACTCCTCATGAACCTGACCACAAGTCCTGTTACTGCAGCATGTGTCATTCCAGTCCGCATGACAGCGGATCACAGATTCAGCCACACTATAAAACAGCAATAAGTCGGTCTGAGGCAAAAGTGAACATCATGGCTATATCTTGTCCCCTATTGACATTTGATTATGCACAAGTAGGTGATCAGCTCAGGTTTACGCAGAACAGAAGGAAGGAGAGCGCTCTGGCCGCACAGGTTAAACGTTCCTACTTTAAGAAAACCGTTAAATTACATTGTTTATGTGCTACCTGGGCACTCTAAATATTTATTTAAAATGAAATCAAAGGAAATTGTAAGGGTATCGAATGTTTATTAATTACTATTTAAAAAATGAAAGTGATGGGGAATTTTTTTAACCCTGTCTGTTTAGCTTGACATCTGATATATATATATATATATATATATATATATATATATATATATATATATATATATATATATAGAGCCATGCCCCGATGGGGGGGGGGGGTGCGTCGACATGGTCGGGACATAGAAGGGGGTGCGCGGCTAAATAAGTTTGGGAACCACTGCCCTAAGAGAAAGAAGCTTTGGCGCTCCTGTTTCAGGAAGTACAAATTAACTGGAGGACTGGGAGGTAGAAAACGGTCACATTTTAAGTCTAACACATTAGCATTCAGCATTTAAACTCCACCACTAACTATTTGCTTTCAAACATGGATGTTTTATCTGCACAAATAACACAAGCATGAGTTCTGCTATGTTTTGGAGATGCTAATGCTAACGGTTAGCTTCTACCGTGCTCTGCTCTCTTCTGGATGCTAAATCAACGTGAGCCAAGATGGGCGAGTTTGACGTAGATGTGTGTGGCTTTGTGTGTTTGTGGCTCTTTCTGCCCCGAGCATTTCCCCATTTATTTCCTTTCAGTAGCTACGGCAGAAAACAGGAGCAGAAGACTAGTTTCAAACATTGTACTTCAAAAATAAGAAAGTTTCTAGTACATTTCACAGTGAAACTCACCTTTAAAATGAATCCATCACATTAAAAACAGAGTGAAGTCTTCACTACACTCAAGCTTTAGTGTCCATTTGGTAAATGTGCTATTTAACACGCAGCTCTAAGGGTCTGTGACAAAGTGACACTGCTGTCGGTTCCTTTTTTTTTTTTTTTTGGTTTCTCGCCACATGGGCTCTAATCTAATGTGATAAGGGGAGGGATGATGCATGAATATTCAGTGGCGCTGATCTGTTATGCAGGGGTATACAGATGGTCTCCTAACAGCTGAGGTGGACAGAAATCCTCTATAATGTCCCAAACTACAACCATGGTGCACAAAGTCAAAGAGATAAGAGTTTCTTTGTCCTTTGTTTTCACCAAGATGCAAACGACCTTCTAAGTCAACAATCTGTTTACTATCTGATCACAAAGCTGGTAAAGAAAACTTTTCATTCAGAAAGATGTTAAATGACCACCAGTCTACCAGTAGAGCATATCTGAGAAAAGCAAAGGCAAAACGCAGAGCACGCTGTAGTGATGAAGATGTGTCATCCCACATTGACCTGCTGTAATTCAAGCAGTTAGAGCCAATAATTATAGATTTGTTTGTGTGTCTGTGAGCTTGTGAGGCCTCCACAACCAACATGATTAGAGCACATGCACATGATCAGAGGTGTGATGGGAAACTAATGAAATCTTTATGGGGGCCTGGAGGGATCATGTGACATCGTTTGTGAGGTCACAAATTAAACCAAAGTGCTTGAAATGATGTTGACAAACAGCAAAGATGTGTTAGAACCGACCCAGACACCAACCAGTAGAGCATCTCCCAACCAGATGACCCGTCATTGATGTTTTTGGATTTCTTACATTCTAAATGACCGTGACAGGGTTATTCTTAGAGGGATGGATGGAATAGATTTAGGCAGTGTTGATTTTTATTTATTTTTTTTACAACTGAAGTTAATAAATACGAAAAGAGAAAGATATTCATCTCCAGAGGTTTTTTTTCTATTTTCTCTTCAGGGAGCCAGCATTTTTTATTAATTTTAATAAAATGTATAAACAGATAAGCTGCCATATCTTTTTTGTAGCTATCTCCTAAATGAAAAACTACACTTAAACTGTGCCATGATGAATACATTCATGAATCAAGATGAAACAAAGACACTCAAATAAATATTTGATTAATCACAACAATAAGAGAAAGGCAGATAAGAATTGCTATCCCTATTCAGCCAAATAAGTATTTAAGAACCACCTTTATATGTGTTGAGGTACATTCAAGTACCAAAATGTACACTAAACAAGTAATCAAAGGTGCACACTAGTTGAAAATAGTGACACAAACATTTGTTTTGGTAATATAACAAAGCGTTTTTGTGTTGTATGCAACATAAATGATGATTCACCAGACGGTGAGGCCATTTAAACTGCATGACCTTTTTAAGTCATAAAAATTTAAATAAACTGACATGAAAATGTATTTTTTGTCTTTATCTGACAGTCAGATTTGCAGGTTAAGTTGAACAGTTTAAAGAACCCAGCTGACGTAAATTCTGTACACTAGACACTACTGATTGGTAGTGCTGGAACCAAGATCACACCACAGACCAGA